GAAAAGTTGCAGGGGGCCTGAGGGTATGACATGCTGCCAAGGAGATGTCAAGAAAGTGAAGGGATATAGTGTGAACACAGAGGGTAGACACAGCCCACATGTGCATCCATAGCCACGTGGGCAAACAGGATAGGGTCCCTGTAGAAAGTAGAATATTATTCAGCCTTTAAAAAAAAAAAAAAAAAAATAGGAAGCTCTGACAAAGGCCGAAGTGTAGCTGGACCTTGACATGCCCAGTGGGACAAGCCAGCCAACAAAGAACAAATACATGCAGGGTGTCAGTAATGTAAGGACCAGGGAGCCAGCAAGTTCATAGAGACAGGATGGCAAGTGCCAGAGGCTCGAAGTCAATTTTAAATCCCTCAACACGGTGTTTAATGACCTTGGTTGGGGGTCAGAAGAGATGGCACGGTGGGTTAGAGCAGTCATTGCTATTGCAGAGAACATGGGTTCAATTCCCAGCACCCACAGGGTGGCTCTCAGCCATTCATAACTCTAGTTCCAGGGAACCCGATGCTATCTTCCGGCCTCTTCAGGCACCAGGAACACACGTGCTACACAGATATACATGCAGAACTAAGGTATGAAGTAAGAAACCAGACTATGTACAGGTTTTGATGGAAAATTGTAGTAGTCGTCATTATCCTTTGAGAAAGGTGCATTCCTCTAAATGAATAGTGAAAGTAAGCTAGTGATAGTATTAGTCTCATTCCTCACATCTTGCTTTGTTAACCATGCACATAAAATATTGTTTAAAACCTTGGTTGGTTGGGGGGAATGGGGGATTTTTAAATGGCTGGGACTGATGCTCTGCTTCAGTGGCTTGACAGCATGGTCCAGGTTCAGTTCCCAGAACCCACATGGTAGCTCACAACCACGTGACTCCAGTTACAGGGGATCAGATGCCCTCTTTGGCCTCCTCGGACTCCTGCATGTACAGAGTTCACATAAATTCACACACACATTAAAGAAACATAAGTAAATCTTAAAAAAAAAAAAAAATGGTTGAGCCAGCTCACTGGCTCAGCAAATACAGGCACTTCCACACAAGGCTGGCAACCTGAGTTAATCCCCCAGAACCCATGCTTTAGCAGAGAACTGACTCCCACAAGCTGTGCTCTTATCTGCAGATATATGGGACTCCAGAGAGCAGGCAGGGTGGAGTACTGGGAAACAGAGGCAACAGAGACAAATGCAGGACAGCAGAAGCAGGGAGGAGGGGAGGAGCTGGAGAGCTGAGGCACCAGAAGGGCCAGGCTGAGAGACTCCTGGGTTCTGTAAAGCCTTTGGCATCAGGGATCCCAATGCCCTAGGCCTGAGCTCTGCAAAATCAGTAGCCAGGAAGGAAGCTGATGTCCCAACACCTTACGAACGGCAGCACTAGGAGATGGTGCCCACTGTTCATTGCCGCTGGAAGCTGGTTACATCAGCTGCAAAATGTCAAGACTGCTAGTAGTTAAAGCTCAGAGCAATAAGCCTCCGAGCTGATAATGAAGAATCTTAAGTCTCTGGTATCTAAAGCCTGGAGCACTAGGGCCACCCAGCTCTGGGGAGCCATAAGCCTCCTAAGCTTTGGGAACTCCAAGGGCCAGATCTGCCAGCACTGGGACGGAATATCATGCATGATTCCTGTCAAAGCAGAGAAGGGATAGCCAACTGGGTGTTAACAATAGCACCACCAGGTTCCCACCCATGTGCGCCTGAGATGGGCAGAAGGGGACGCTGGCTCGAGTGGTGTTCTCTTAAAGGTAGAGACAGCCCCACTGTTCCCAGCACTGGGCCTGGCACTACAAGCTGCTGAGGCTGATAGTGGATATCTCTGCCCTCTGGGGATGACCCCTTCGGGAGCCAGGCAATGAAGAGAGGAGGCGCAAACAGGTGGCAGAAGGGGAATGCTGCTAGGGGCGCAAATGAGGCGCTGCTGAGTGAGCAGGGGTCAGAGAGAAGGGATGCTTTTAAGAGATAAGGCAAAAAAGCATTTGCAGAAAGATCTGAGGCAGAGGCGTTCAGTGAATCAGAAGGGAAGATCGACTCCACACAGAGCTGGTGCAAAGGTCCTGCAGCAGGAGTGTGTCTGGAGGCCAGTGGAAGAGGTCAGGGACTCTGCCGGGTGAGGGAAGCAGGTGAGAGCAAGTAGAGTAAAATCGGAACAGAGAAAGATGCCGTAGGCGGGGAGAGGAGCTTGGGTTTGGCTTCCCAAGCACATAAAAGACCTTTTGCAGGGTGTGATGTGGGCGGTGACACCTCACTCATCTTTGGAAAGGATGACTTGGCTCTGATTCAGCAGTCCGCCTGTTGGAGACCAGAGGGGAAGTAGAGACTTTGGGGAGAAGGTGCCTCAGGGCCTAGAGCAGTGGGTCTCCACCTTCCTAATGCTGAGACCCTTGAAGACACTTCCTCATGTTGTGGTGACCCCCAACCACAAAATTAGTTCATTGCTACTTCATAACTGTAATGTTGCTACTGTAAATAGAAATATCTGATATACAGGATACCTGATCTGTAACCCCCAAAGGGATCATGACCCACACGTTGAGAACCACTGGTCTAGGGCAGAGGGCCCCAGACTCACTGGCTATAAACAGCCATTGGCAGACCGCTCTCTCCCTGGTTCAAACGGGGTTCAAATCTACCCATCTTTAACTCCAAGTGGTGCCACGACCCTGGTATTGCTGTCTGTGGCCACATCACACCTCTGCCTCCAAGGTCATGTGGCCAGCCAACACTGCTGTGACTTTTCCTCTGCTCTCTTGTTTGCTTGCTTGGTGTTTTGTTAAAAAGCACTTTCAAAACTCTGTAGCCAGGTCGGCCTGGAGATCACCATCCTCCTGCCTCCCAAATGCTGGGATTTCAAACTCCCGCTACCAAGCCTCCTCTGCTTTTGTCAGAACATTTGACCGTGGGTTGAGGGTCACCTGGATGATCCCCAGTCATCTCAAGGTCTTTAACTCAATTACACCTGCAAAGACCCCGATCAAGGCCAGGCACAGGAGCCCACACCTGAAATCCCAACACTCAAGAGGCCAAGGTAGGTAGACAGAGTTCTAAACAAACAAAAAAGATGTCTGTACAGCTAAGAGCACCTCTGTAATGTCCAGTGGACATCATGCAGCGAAGCCCAGAGAGCTCATTACAGAGGAAGATGAGACCACCACCCACCCAGCTTTCTCACAAAGCTGATCTCACAAAGAGTGCCTGTGAATGCTGTTTCCTCTCTTCCAGTCTAACAGGTAAGCATAAGTCTTCTCGGTGGGGACTGAGTTCTCTTCCAATGCCATTCGATGCTAATGTCGTGTTAATATAGTAAACCTGACAGTGTCTAGAATCACCTAGGAAACAAGCCTCCCAGCACACCTGTGAGAGATTATCTAGATTAGGTTAGCCTCTGGGTACCCTTGAAGGGATTATCCAGATTAGCTTAATTGAGATAGGAAGACCTTTTTGTAACTGTGGGCTGATGTGGAGTGATACGGAGTCTGTCTTTTCCACTCCAGGGCTTTCTCACATCGAGGTCCTAAACCCTAAACTCACACACAGGCACACAAACATGCTCGCACGAGCACACACACACAAGTGTCTGTGCTGGAAAAGGTGACCCATCTCCCGTTGTCACTGCAGAGTGCTGAAGTATGTGAAGAATCTTAAGGGCTCTCAAAACCATGCAGACCCTGAAAATAGGGACCGGATAAGCCACAGCTAGGCTTTGGGGGAGGGAGCTTTGCCTGCAATTCAGGGAGCATCTCCCCTTCAGGGACATCACCTGAGCCTCAATTTCCCTGTGCAGACAACAGACTGTAATCCCAACAACACCAACAGTGGCTGCTGAGGAAGGGGCTGGGGACCCAGAAGCTAAACTGGGGGCTGGGGTGAGGGTGGGGGAACTGACCTTTGAACTCTGTCCCCGGACCCAGCCAGTTTCCAACCCATCACTCCACATTGTCACCTGCTTAGGGGTTGTTTTCTCTGGACCTCGGTTTCTTTGTGTACAAATTGGGAGCTATGGTTTCCACCTCTTAAGGCTTGTGAGAAAGAACATTTCATCTGTAAAGTGCTGAGCGGGTGCCAGATCCCAGCTAATGTGAGCTATTCATAGCTTCCCTTTCCGTCGCGACTCAGGATGAGAGAGCCTGTCCAGCCCGCCGGAAGCCTGAAGGTTCACTTCCCGCACCTCCAAACACAAATTCTCCGTCCTTACACCTGCAGCAGAAGCCAGGTGCTTCCTGGAGGACCAGGGGGAAAGGTGCTCTGTGCTCAGTACAAGGACTCAGGTGCGTTCTCGGCCTACCCACCCACCCCACGCCCCCACTCCCGCCCACCTCACCCATCCCATCCCACCTCACCCATCCCATCCCACACCCCCGCTTTCTCCTACTCTCATTCCTACCACACTAACCCCCTCCCTCCACCTCTGTTCCCTCTGCATCGGGGTGCTCACTCCCACTCGCCCCAAGACTCTGTGGCCCGCGGGCTCCCCCGTGCGCCCATCATGCGCGCTGCTGCGATCTCCAGGTCCTGAGCGACCTGAAACTAGACCTAGAGCTCTAGCAGGCGACCAGGGGGCACTTCCATAGGACCGCGGGCGACTCTAGAACACTCGCACCTCAATCCACCCGCTCCCCGCCTGGAGCAGCACTCCAGCACTCGGGGTGGGCAAACATTCCATACAGACCACCGGGTCCCTCCCGCGCTGGGGGGTGCCCCTTTAAGGAAGTGGGCGGGGTGATGTCTGATTAGCATATATTAGCATGGCCCTGCCCCGGAGGCGGGCGGGCGCGCGGCTCAGTCCCGCGGAGCGGACCTGAGCGGGCGCGGAGCCGAGCGAGGCGCAGAGCTGGCTGCTGGCGGGCGCGGGGACCCTCGCCACCCCGCCTCCGAGAGCGGGATGGGACGCCGCCAGCGGGGACCAGGGTCCCCCCGGGGACCTGGCCCTCCACGCACCGGGCCCGGGCTGCCGCCGCTGCTGCTGGCGCTGGCGCTGGCGGCCCACGGGGGCTGCGCAGCGCCCGCTCCCCGCGCGGAGGACCTCAACCTCGGGATGGTGAGTGTGCGGCGCGGGACCCGGGGAGCCTGAGGGCCGAGTCCGCGGGCGTTCCCGGGGTGCAAGCGAGAAGAGAGACTCTCCCTTGGTCCTCGCAGAGAGGTGCGGGGGGGGACCCATTTCCAAGGCAGAGAAACTGAGGCTGGGGCTCGGTCTGAGCGGGGCGCGCGGGTCCAGGAGGACGCGGGTCCTTTTCCCGCTCTGTGCGACTGTGCGCGGCCGCCGCGGGCGCCCCGGGGAGGTGGTCGCCCAGCTGAAGCCGAGTCCCTGGTTAAGAGCGGCTCCACAGAGACCTCTGGCGGGGTGGCCGGCGTCACAGACGCCCGGAGCGGTGCGCCCCGCGAGCTCCGCGGCCGGAGTGGGAGGTCAGGGGCGCGCGCCCCGGGTCGGGGACGCGCATGTAGGCGCCCGCAAAACCTGGGCTTGCCGAGTTTGCCCCGCTGACGACGTCGGGAGAGCCTCCTACACGGCGTGAGCGGCTCGACCCCCCTCCTCCCTCCTCCCCGGGAACGCTCGGCCTTGTCCCGCCGGTGCGGGCGACAACCTCTGCCTTGTCGAGCCCGCTGCCGTCCCCATCCCGCCAACTCCCCCTGCCGGGGCTGGGCTGGCCACCCCTGCCTGGGGGCCCCGCTCCGGCTTCTCCCCACCTCTCGTCTACCCTCCTGACCCAAGTCGGCTGGAAACCCGCAGGAGCCCCGGAAGGTTTCCGTGAGACTTTATGGCTCCGCAGGCCCGCGAAGCCCTCTGCAAAGGCACACGACGGGTGTAGAGCCCGCTTTCGAGGAGGCCCCAGCCTGGGCGCCCTTGATCCTCTGAGAGACGGAGACCTGGCCAGGGGCGGCTTCCTGACTGGCACAAGCCAGCCAGTCTCCTAATCCGGTCCTGGCAGGGTCTGCTCTGTTGTCAGTGGGGACCCTTCTGAACCCTTAGGTCTAGGCAAGGTGTCATGGAGGTTTCATGCTAGAGGAGACACCCGGGGCGCGGACAACCCCCTGTTCGGCAAGACTTGCCTCTGGAGCTAAGGGAGAGGCTGCTGACTCCCGCTCCCCCGGCATCTGAGGTGGCAGCGGCCCCATGCTTTCTCTGCCCACTTGCAGACGTCTGGTGGCCTCCGGGGTGGCCTCCTCCCATCCCAGCGGCCTCTAAAATAGCGGTTCTTCACACTCCTGCTTCTAGGCTTTCATAGCTGCCCCCCCCCCCCCCCATGCCATGAGCACTGGGACATCCAGTCCCAGTTCTGGATGGGTGACAATAGAGCCCAGATCCCCTCTTTCTTTTGGCTCTCAGGGTGTCTCAAAGGGGGCTGGTGAGGGGAGAGGGGACGCCGAGGTAGAGTCGGGGCGGGGGCGCTCCTGTCCGTGCAAGTTCTCGATCAGGCCCAGTGCACTTAGGAAGTTTTGCAGCAGCAGGATCTCGGGGTGGGGGGAGGGCTGCCCCCCCCCCCCCCCCCCCGGCACCTGTGGGCCTCATCCTACTTTTCCCCTATGCTCCTGAGTTCCTGAGCACCCCAGGATCACCAGCCCACCCGCACCCTGAAGATCTCGCTGAGCAGGGCGCGTGACTTAGCCTTGGGAGAGGCAGCAGAACCCTGTCTTTCAGTCCTGGGCAAAGCGGCAAGATGCAGCAGGCAGCCCCCTGCCCAGGACAATACCCTCCCGGGTGTGGGAACCGGGTCCGGCCTGCCTCTCCTGTGGTGGTGGTGGTGGGCGCCCTCTGGTGGCCCTCTAGGGGCTGGCACCTGAGAGCGTGGGGTGCAGGGGCACTGAGCAGCCAAAGATGGGCGGGCTTTGGGTGGGAGCTTTCCGATGCCCCTCAGACCGCCCTCTGCGGGCTGTTGAGTGAATTCAGGTCTGGATGCCTCTGAGGAGAAGGGCGCCTTTGTGTTTGTGATTAGCCGCTGCCAGACAGCGCTGCACCCACGGCTGGGCTAACCGGGAGGGGCTAACGTCTGGGAATAGAGCCTAGAAGAGGCCCCAGGCCCCCTGGAAGGACACCCAGGATGTGGTTCCCCACAGCCTAGCGGGCCCTGTTTTGTCACTCCGTTTCTTTGAGTGGTTAATGCCCCACAGCAAAGTGTGCCACCCCAGGGAAGGTTCTGGAGAGTGGTGTCCCGGCGGCCCTTGCAGTGTCCAGCTGGGTAGCCATGGGGAAGTGGACAGTTCCACACAGGCAGATCAGGCTCCAGCGCTCACACCTTGCGGTTTTCACTCACAGCCTGCCTTGGAGAACGTTTCATCCACCGCCTGGCTCCGCGGGTTCTTGCCGTCACCCCCCCCCTCATATTTCATTCACAAATGTCATATCACTCAGCCAGGCCTGGCTCCCTCGTGGATGCTGTGGATCTGGCGGCCTGTGGCTGCGAGGGGTCTGCTTGAGAGCCCCCTTCATGCTGGCAGCTAAGCAACCGATCCCGGGAAGTTTCTACTCTGATGTTTCCTCCCGCTGCTGAGTCTCTTCCGCTGCTGGCCCCGCACAGCAGGGCAGGTGCAGAGCCCCGTACTGAATATGCCCACAACTGCGGGCTAGCTGCTGGGACTAAGGATGGCCAGGATAAGCAGAGACCTTGGGAGGGGGGCCAGTGATGACAGGTGGAAGCAGGGACATGGAGTGCAGACTTTGCTGGTGTGTGCCCCTCTTAAAGCCTAAATCACCCTCCTGTGCCCACCTCAGTTCCCACAGCTGCCTGCATCCTGCTGAGCCCGCTCAGGAATTCCCCTAATGCCCATAGCTGTGCTCCGGGAACTACAGTTGCTCCGTGTAGATCCAAACCAAGATGGCCGGGTGGTTAAGCAGAAGTGGATCCATACCTGCTGATACAGCTGCAGGGAAACTGAGGCAGGAGGATGGTATAGGCTAGCATGGGTTAGAGAGTGAGACTGTCTTAGAAAGTGGAAAGAGGGGTTAGAGATGTCATTCAGTCGCTTGCCTAGCATGTACGGAGCACTGGCTGCCAGCCCCAGCCCCACCAAAACAAACCAAAAAAAAACAGGCATGGTGGCACACACGTGTGATCCCAGCACTGGGACGCAGAGGGCAGAGGATAAAGTCCTATTTAAGGTCATTTTCTTAAGGTCATCTTTGGCTAGAGAGCAAGTTCAAGGCCAGCCTGAGCAACATGACACATCTTTTTTAGAAAAGGACCAATGCTGGGCATGGTGGTGTATGCAGCTTTAACTCTGTAATCCTAGCACTCAGGAGGAAGGGTTCAAGACCAGCCTGGTCTACATAGGGAGTTCCAGGGCTACCTAGTGAGATACTGTCTCAAGAAAACAGAAAGAAGATGAGACTGTGCATCAGTTTCCGGTGGTCTTAGTTCAGCCGTTCTCAACCTGTGTGTGGGTCTAGACGCCTTTGGGGGCCGACTGACCCTTTCACAGGGGTCATACATCACATACCCTGACCATCAGAGAATGACATCGCTAGACATAACAGTAGCAGAATCACAGCTATGAAGTGACAACAAAAATAATTTTACGGCTGGGGTCACCACAGTGTGAGGAACTGTATTAAAGGGTGGCAGCGTTAGGAAGGTTGAGACCCACTGTCTTAGCCACTGCTGTGACCACAGCAACTTAGAAACGAAAGCGTTTAACTGAGCATGGTTCCCGAGGGTAGAGTTCACGATGGCAGGTGAAGCAGTGGCTGCAGGGGCGACTGAGAGCTCCCATCTCAGGTGGCAAAGAACACACTGTCAGAGGCAGTTCTTTGACAAAGTCGGGCTCCCAGTGGCACACCTCCTAATCCTCTCCAAACAGTACTGCCAAATGAGCCTGTGGGGGGGAGGTCACTTTAATCCAAACCACAGCATAGGTCCTTTGCCTAACTAGTGACAGGCCCTGGGTTCTTTCCTAGCACACACACGCACATGTGCATGTACCAAAAGAGTAGGAAACAGGTCTTGATGCCCACTGCTTTGTGCTCTGCTTCGGTTTGAGACAAGGTCTCACTGCATAGCCATTGCCATCCTGGAACTCACAGAGGTCTGCCTGCCCCTGCCCCATGAGTGCTACCATTAAAGGAGTGTGCCACCACACTTGGCCTCTCTGTGGCTATCTAATGTGGAGCCCTTTTCCCCAGACCTGGGCTGGGTCCCAAGCTGCTGGTTACCTGCTCTGTGACCCAGCAGATCATAGGGCCTCAGTGTTCTTTCCTGTCAAATGGGCCTGCAGGAGCAGGCTGTACCTAGGGAGGGGAAGCTGGAAAAGTTCAGGAGGCTTACAGGGTGTTCTCCAGTAAGGACACCGCTGGGGGCCTCCCAGGGCGTGTTAGATGCCTGTGGCCCTAACTGTACCGTAAAACTTGCAGTAACACTTGGCCCTGGATCCGCATAGGGGCCGGTGCTGGCACATGAAGGATAAGACAGTAAAGATGGGATGGCTATGTGGTAGGCACGCAGCCTGCATCCCCTCATAGCTCCAAGTCCCACTCTGTCCCTGTCCCCAGACCCTTCACTCCTAATGTCCACCTCCTTCCCAGGCTCTAGCGCCTAGCTATTTCCTGCATCAAACCTTCACACCTGCTCTTCTCACCACACATGCTCTTCCCGGGGCTTACCTGGACAGCCCCTCGTCTACCCAGAGCAACTTCGTGGAGTGTCCTTCTAAGTGTCCCCTCTTCCCGTCCCTCCCCTCCCTTGCAGTAGTCATAGGATAAGCCCGGAAGCCAGACAGCTCTAGCCCCAGCTCTGCGCTCACGTGCTGTGTAAAATGGAGGAACGGTAGCGCACATCAGGTCAACTTGCAGTGACTTACAGAATGCCCACCTTTCACAAAGAAGAGCACAGGGAAAACAAACAGCGCCCACCACCCTCCACGCACCCCGGGGGTCTTGTGGAGCTTCCTCGGGCCTGCAAGTAGGAAGTATTCAGTGGCCCCTCGCTCAAGATCCCTGGAGTGGCCGTCATCAGGACCAGAGCGGCCCGAGACACTGTGCTTAGGCTTCCTTCATCCTCCCCTCCATACTGCCCACTTCTGGGCAGATCTGCCCTGCTCTACCTAGCAGCCCTCACGCAGTCAGGAATACCCAGGCATGGGAATCATTCCAGCTGCTTGCTAGGACCAGTCTTTATAAAAGGGCTGGAGATCTTTATTTGGGGGCTGGAGAGAGGTTCACTCGGTAAAGTGCTTCCCACGCAAGCATGAGGACCTGAGTTCAACCTCCCCCCACCCAGAACCCATGATCGCAAAGCTGGTCACGGGGCAAGCAAGATGGCCCGATAGTTAAGAGCCTGTATGGAAGATCCAAGTTTGGTTCCCAGTTGATTCCCAATACCTACAGCGGGTGCCTCACGACTGCCTGTAATTCTGTCTCCAGGTGACCAGATGCCTCTGGCCTCCTTGGACACCTGCATTCACAAGTATCTACACATAAACACATTAACAAATATTTTTTAGCTGGGTGTGGTGGCACACGCCTGTAATCCCAGCACTCAAGGAGACAGAGGTAGACAGATCTCTGTGGGTTTGAGGCTAGCCTGGTCTACAAAGCAATTCCAGGACAGCCAAGACTACACAGAAAAACCCTGTCTCAAAAAGGCTATAAATATATATAATGTTGATATTCATATTAATATTTATTAATATATACAAATATATTTAAATATATACATATATTTTAAGCGTGGCATGGTGGAACATACTTGTAATCCTGATACTGGGGAGGCAGAAATGGGAGATCCTGGAGCTTGCTGGCCATACAGACTCTTTGGTGAACTCCAGGCCAATGAGAGACCCCGTCTCAAAGGAACTAGGCAGTGTTCCTGAGGGTTGCACCGGAAATTGTCCTCTGGCCTCCCCACGCATACATACTCAGTAGTAAGCACATGAGTCATACATGCTATGTGCCATGTAACTGGACAGGTTACCCAGCTCATCTGGGCCTCCGTTTCCTCCCCTGTAACTGGGGTCCCACTGGTGTTGCCCTTACAAGGGCCTGAGGGGCTTGATGGAAAGAAGATAGTGTGAGGAGGGGGTGGCCAAAGGTGGCGCTGCCCATGATCGGTAGCACCTAGAGTTATTTACATATCATATGAATTATATCAAGAGCTGGCCCTGCTCCTGACACTGGTTGGAAGGACAAGAGCCTGGATTCAGCTTCTGGGCCTCAGTTTCCCTACCTGTGAGATGGGGCTGCTGACATCTGCTTGCCTCCAGCTGCTGGGTGCAGTTGGAGAGGGGTGAGGGGTGGCTGTGAGCTTTACAGTATAGCCCGGGTGCCAGGCAAGGTCTGCAGGCTCCTGGGGCCACAGATGGCACCTAACCAAGGCTTCGGGCAGAGCTGCCCAGGTTCTAAGACACAGTTGGGTAAGTCCTCACAGGGGCTTGGGCAGCGGCTGTGCTCTATAAATTTGCTAAAATCATCTGAAGGATTTTAACACTGTATATATTATGCCTTGTTAGGGCTGTAAAAAGATACACATTGTGTCAAATGGTGATAAACGCAACAGCAAGATGGGAAAGAGGAGGGGCCAGCACTGACTGACTTCTGTGTGGGAATCCCACACTACCTGGGCAGCCTCAGTACTGGTCTGCAGTAATGGTCCAGTTCTCTGACAGGGCTGGGAGGAAGCGGTATCCAGCCTTGGGGTGGGACTCCCCTTCTCCTGGCCCCACCCCTCCCCAGTGGCCTTCTGGAAGGTTCACCCTGAGCCTCACAGCACCCGCCTGCTGCCGCCTCCGTTGCCCTGGAGACAGCGGTCTGTCTCCGTGGCGACAGTGGAAGGAGGACCAGGCAGGCAAGCAGGAAGCCTGAGGCCCAGGACTGGGTGTGTGGTCCCTGCTCTATAGGTATTCAGAAGAAGGGAGAGAAAGCGAGGAGGACCTACCTCTAGCTACCCTACCTGCAGACAGCGAGGTGGGGAGGGGCTTATACCCCAGCTGGCTCAGAGCGGGTGGGTTGGGGTGATAAGGGACTCACTGGTTGCTAGCTGCAAGGTGCCGGTCAAGGCGCCTCTTTTGTAAAAGTCTTGTCCTCTATCTAGGTGGCTTTTGTCAGCCTAGGCAGCCCCAAGTCCCCTTAGGCGGCCCATTCTCCTCACTTGACATTTATCAGCCACTATTCCCAGATGATAATGTGAAGCTCTGAGTGTTTGGGGTTCACCCGCCTGGAGAGGGATGAGCTGGCCGCCCGAGGCTCCCACACCCTCACACCTGATGTATGAATGGTGGCTTTCTCTGGTGTGTCCACCTGAGGCCAGCGCTGGCAGTCACGCACCGCCCCAAGCCAAAGCCCACTGTAGTCAGCCCCTCCTAGGACTGGGGCTGTGAGAAAGGTCTTGGCTGGATACAGGGAAGGGGCTGCCAGAATTCTGAGGGCTGAGCTCGCTCTTGATGGAGGCAGCGCCTCTGAGAATGCAGGTGCCATGCTGCCAATCCCCAATTGATAGTCTTCAGTAGACAAGCATCAACTGCCATCCAGCTTAGAGGAAGAGGGGTGACCCTCCCCTCATACCCTCTGTTCCCTCACCCACTCATGTGCACTCCTGGAAGAGGGACCCATTCTTCCCAAGGTGTTCTGCGTATGGGATGAGGAAACTCCAGCAGTGCTTCCTGCAGGAGGAAACAGTAGCCATGAAGCCCTGTGTCGCTGGCTTGAGCCTGTGAGCTTCGAAGGGAGTTTTGAAAACATGTGGTGTGTGTGTGTGTGTGTGTGTGTGTGTGTGTGTGTGTGTGTGTGTGTGTGTTTATGTGTGAAAATAACCAAAATGTTAAAAATAGTTTTGAAGCTGGGCATGATGACACATACCTTTAATCCAGCATTCCGGGAGGCAGAGGCAGGCAGATCTCTGAGACCAACCTGGTCTACAAAGCAAGTCCAGGACAGCCAAGGCTACACAAAGAAACCCTGTTTAGTTTTATGAGAGGAAATGTCAAAACAGGGTCTCATCGAAGCTGGCCCTAAACAGAATCTAAAATGGGGCAGTAGACAGATCCGGGCTGCACCCAGGGACATGGCTCCCACTTCTAGTCTACTTTGGGGAACGTTGCCCTGCCCTTCAGTCTTAGAAGCAGGTCTCTGCCATCCCCACACATCCTGACAGCTTCCCACTAGGCTGCAGGGAAGGCTGGGGTGGGGTGGATTTTGAAAGAGAAGCCCCAGCAAGGATATGTTTTCTGGAGAGGGGACCTGGAGGGCACCCTGCATGCAAACTACATCATCCAGGCTGAACCTCCTAGCCGGCATAGCTAGCCCCGATTGTGGCCCCGAGGGAAAGCTGAAGGCCAGTTCTCAAGACATCAACTGGGCTCCCAAACAACATCCACCATAGCAGCAACCAGCCAGAAGACATAGCCTGGGTAGCAGCCTCAGGATAGGATCCTCAGGCCAGGGAAGGGCATGGATGGGTTGATTTTCTTTAAATGTCCATCAAAAAAGAAGTAGGTTATTGGGTGTGTTGCCATATAACTTTAATGCCAGTACTGGGGAGGCAGAGACAGGAGGATCTCTACGAGTTCAGAACCAGCCTGGTCTACATATCAAGTTCCAGGCCAACCAGGGTGACATGGTGAGACACTGTCTCAAAAAAAAAAAAGGTGGGTGAGCTCCTGGACTCATGGCTCAATGGTTGAGAGCACTTGTTCCTATTGCAGAGGACCTGGGTTCAATTCCCAGTAGCCACATGGGGGTTCAAAGCCACCCATAGCTCCAGTCCTGGGGATCTGATGGCATCTTCTGACCTCTGTGGGCAGCAAGCATGCATGTGGCTACATATCTCACTCAAAGTAAAATACACCATTCTAACTTAGAATAACTTAAAAACGAAAGAGTACTTTTTGCTCTTGCAGAAGACCCTAGTCGGGCTCCCAGCACCCACGCTGGGCAGTTCACAACCACCTGTTAATTTCAGCTCCAAGGTGCTTCTAGCCTCTGAAGTATATTCATATACATTCATATGCATTCATATACAGAGACACACACGACCACATAATTAAACTTTGTTTGTAATTTTTTTTTAAGTCAGTGTCTTTCTGTGTAGCCCTGGCTATCCTGGAACTGTGTGTGTGTGTGTGTGTAGACTAAGCTGGCTTCTAACTTTCAGGGATTTATCTGCCTCTGCCTCCCAAATGCTAGAATTAAAGGTATGCACCACCACAGCTGGGAAATTTAAAATTAAAAAAAAAAAAAAAAAAAGATAAGGAGAGTGCTTGCCTAACATACACAGAGCCCTGGATTCAATCCCTAGCACGATAATCCCAGCCCTTGGGCAGTGGGAGCAGGAGCATCAGAAGTTCAAGGTCATTTTTGGCTACAAGGTGAGTTTGAAGCCAGACTAGACTACGTGAGATCCTGTCTCAAAAGAGGGGTAGCTGGTTGGGGATGGGGGGTGCGGTAGACACATTTAACCCCAGCACTTGGAAGAAAGAAGCAGACTGATCTCTGGGATCTTAAGCGCAACCTGATGTACACAGCCAGCCAAGACTCTACAGTAAAACCCTGCTTCAAAGTGTGTGTGTTTAGATGAGATGGAAGGAAATTAGTCTGCAGGGTTGGGCCCCTTGTTTGTGCCCTTCTTGAAAAGGAGGGTGGTTTTGACTCAGAGTACCCTGCTTGACACAACCTTTGGGTAAGCAGGAGCCAGCTAGATGTGTGCCTCAAGCAGGGTGATTGGCACAATCTTGCGGTGCATGTGGACTCTAGCGCCATCTGGTGGTTGCCGGCAAACATTGGTCCATCACGCGCTCACCCACATCTCAGGCATCATGTTTATCAACTGCTTATAACTAGATTTAAAGACAGGGGTGTGGGGCTAGGGGTGGCCAGGGTTCAGGAGGCATTTTCCCCAGCAACGTCCAAGAGCTTGGGCAGCTCTTCCTCAGGTCGCTCTACCCTAATAACTTCTCACTCCATTCGTTCTGTGTCTCAGGAGTGGCTGAGCAGGTTCGGCTACCTGCCACCTGCAGACCCGGCAACAGGGCAGCTCCAGAAGCAAGAGGAGCTTTCCAAGGCCATTACCGCCATGCAGCAGTTTGGCGGCCTGGAGACCACCGGCATCCTGGGTTAGTTCTCTGGGAGGCACCGAGAGGCTTCTTGGTTCCATCAGAGCTGCACTAGCCTTGGTCAGACCCACCCTGGCTCCTCAGGACCCCACAATTAGCCCTTGAGGACTCAGACTGGCCAGAGCCATGAACTTGAATGTAGCCTTAACCTGGTGGGGAGAGCTGGGTTTGAGCACACCTGGCCTTTAAGCCATTGGCCCTGAGGGAAGTAGAGTCACTGGGGAAGTAGAGTCAGGCCTGCCTGCTGACCTGTGTCCACTGTACAGATGAGGCCACTCTGGCCCTGATGAAGACCCCTCGCTGCTCTCTCCCGGACCTGCCTCCTGGGGCCCAAGCAAGAAAGAAGAGACTGACTCCGCCACCAACCAAATGGAGCAAGAGGAACCTTTCTTGGAGGTTTGTGGCCGGGGCGGGGGGGGGGAATCCCCAGGGTAGTGTCTCTCTGTCCCTCTGCCATCCCTGAGGCCAGACCAGTTCAGAGAGGATCCTACCAGTGTGTAGACCGTGGCCGGAGTGTGGGCCAGACACTGAAATACAGCCTGTCCAGGCCATGTGGAAAGCTGTCATTTGCTTATGATCTTTGGCCGCATCTGCATTCATCTCCTGAGGATTAGGATTAGAACAAGGCAGGCGAAGGGGGACACTCATGCCAAGGAGGGGGTAACACCACCTCAGTGGGAGGTCCAGAGAGGCCTCAGGGACAGCTGGCCTCCACTCTGACCCTGACCCTAGGGTCCGGACATTCCCACGGGACTCACCCCTGGGCCGGGATACTGTGCGCGCACTCATGTACTACGCCCTCAAAGTCTGGAGTGACATCACACCCTTGAACTTCCACGAGGTAGCGGGCAACACTGCTGACATCCAGATCGACTTCTCCAAGGCTGACCACAATGACGACTACCCCTTTGATGGCCCCGGGGGCACCGTAGCCCATGCATTCTTCCCTGGTGATCACCACACGGCGGGAGACACCCACTTTGACGATGATGAGGCATGGACCTTCCGCTCCTCAGGTAGGCAGGGGCTGGTCCTGAGTATGGGGAAACCCTGGGCCTGGGCAGCCCCTGTGGGTCCTGAAAACACCACAGTAACGCCCTGAAAACCTATAAAAGATAGCTGCAGCTGTGGCCCCCAGAATGAGTCCCCACTCAGGCATAAACAATTCAACCCTACCCCTGAAACCTGTTGGGCCATTCTCATGATACTGATCCACCAAGTGTCTGCAGTCAGCTTGGCAAACCTAGCTAGTCCCCTGCCCAGTGCACAGGAGCCCAGGCCTCTTATGTGGGATCTGCATTTGAGCCTAGAAAACCCTGCCAATCATGGGACATCTATGGCCTGGCACTACTACTACTACTAGCTTCCATACCATGAAAGTATAAGAGGCCCCTGGGAAACCCCTTCCAGCCCCACAGGGCCTCTGTAGGAGCCCAGCATGGTCTTAGCAGACCTGCAGCACTCAGGTGTCTAGCTGGAGCCCCCAGCACAGCTAGGATGCAGACAGGCCCTGACCATCTCTGTGGTCAGCCCCATCACAAGCGAGGGAGTCCTGTCGTCCTGTGCTCATGCTGCTTCTGTGTCTTCAGATGCCCAAGGGATGGACCTATTTGCAGTGGCTGTCCATGAGTTTGGTCACGCCATTGGCCTGAGTCATGTTGCTGCCCCAAGCTCCATCATGCAGCCGTACTACCAGGGCCCCGTGGGTGACCCACTGCGCTATGGGCTTCCCTACGAGGACAGGGTGCGTGTCTGGCAGTTGTATGGTGAGTGTCCCCAAAGCTTTGTATGGACTGCATGGAGGGTAGGGCTGGGAACAAACGCCCCAGGTTGCTGGAAGCTCTGCTCGTGTCTGTGACCTCTTAGTCTAGATTTCTGTGGGCACTTGTCTGCTGGGAGTGGCACAGAGGGGAGAGGAGAGGCGCCCTGGGCGTGAGACACAGGACTGCCCTCTAGTGCTGATTCTCCCTAGTGCTTAGAGTCCTGGAGATCTCACATCTGTCCCTCAAAGGTTTGAAGGGTCTTGGAAGCAGTAAAAGTGGACCCAGGCCTACAAAGCACTGGGCATGTGCTAAATTAACCATCTAATCATGGAACTAAAGGAAGAGCAATAGCCATGGGGTGAGCCCGGGTCAGACAGCTTCTCCTGGATAGCTCATGAGAATGAGAGAATATCCCTACAGGAGTGTGGCGATATCCCTAGAGGATCAAAGGCCAGACCGTTTGCCCAGAGTAGCCTACAGGACCAAGAGGCAGGTAGATCTATGGCAGTGAGAGGCAGGCAGCTTGCCTAGAATAGTCCCACCAGAGTACAAACAGCCAAAACCGGAACAGAGCTGGCTCGGCACTGCTCCCAAGACACAGCAGGAAGTAAGTAGAAGCGTCTCTGTCCCAGCGCCCATCTGGAAGATGATTCCCTGGGAGGAAGTGATGTTTGCTTTACAGAAACACCATCCTGCCCCCGTAGAGCCACCCTGCCCCCAGCCTCGCCCTGCACCTCTCCAACCTTGCTGTTCCCTGTTGTCCGCTCCACTCTGCGTCCCTGTCTGAGTAGGGGTTTTGTTGTTTTTGTTTTGTCTTTTATGGTGATGGTGTTTTCGTTTGTTTTTGCAGGTTTCTTTCTTTTTATTTTAATTTAATGTGTGTGTGTGTGTGCGTGCCAGAACATATGAATGTGCACCACATGCATGCCTGTGCATACAGAGGTCAGGAGAGGGCACTGGGTCCTCTAGAACTAGAGACACAGGCAGTTTGTGAGCCACTGAGTGGATGCTGGGAACTTAATCCAGGTCCTTTGCCAGAGTAGCAACCATCTGTATCCATTGAGCTACCTCCCCAGCCTTGTGGGTTTTTTGTTTGTTTGTTTGTTTGTTTGTTTGTTTTTTAATGTGTGTAAATTTCTTTCCTGCATGTTCGTATGTGCACCACATGCAGACCTGGTACTGATGGATGCCAGAAGAGGGCATTGGATCCCCCGGAAGTGGAGTAAACAGACAGTTGTGAGCTCTGGGAACTGCACCCAGGTCCTCTGCAAAAGCAGCCAGTGCTCTTAAGAGCTGAGCCATCCCTCCAGCCCTTACGCATTGCTTCTAATGCAGCAAACTACCTCCCCAACCTCCCCCTCTCTCCAGTCACAGAGCTCTTCAAGCACCACCCTCTCTGGGTCTAAAACACTCACTATGCTGAACTGGGCCTGGAAGAGCTTTCTCTAAGGATTGCCCCTTGAGGAACGAGGCCTTCTGTAGCTGGTGGTCCCCACCCCCACCTCAAGTGTGTGTGGTCGAGGTTTCTCCCTCACAGCAGTCAGACTCAGTTCCTTCCCATGACTAAATGAGCCCAGCGCCAGGTGACGTCCCTGTCAGGCTCTGGTGACCAGTGCTGTGGACATTGGTGTAGACTTCTTGCGGATCACTTGGCTTCCGTCTTTCAGGGGTGTCCATGCAGGAGTGTGTGCTGAGGGACACTGAGGCACTGGACAAGCTCTTCAGGCCATAGCATAGTTCACAGGCTTGGTGGACTGCCCTTCCTCAACAGCCATCCAGCTGAGTGGGCAAAGCGGGGCACCTGCCAGTCTCTCAGCCCAGCCTCTATGCCCAGGGCCCTCGGAGACGCTCGTGAGACTAGGGCCCTGGGTTTAACGCAGTCTTTCTGTCTCCACAGGTGTGCGGGAGTCCGTGTCCCCTACTGCCCAGCTAGATACCCCAGAGCCTGAGGAACCGCCCTTCCTGCCAGAGCCCCCCAACAATCGGTCTGACATCCTGTAAGTCGTGTCCTTGGCCAGCCTGTCCTTGTCCAGTGCTGCCCCTTCTGGGCACATAGTAGCCACTGTAGCCCAGGATTTTAAGGAAGTCACTGATGTAGGTCCTGACAGGGCCTAAGGGACATTCTTCTCTTAAACTTCCCAATAGGTGATGGGGGAGGGGAAAGGAGCTGTTAACCCGAGAGCTACAGTGAACCTCAAATAGCCTGGTTCACTAAGCCTGGGACCTTGATGACTAAGAGATCTTGCAACCCAGTGGCTGGTCTGACACCCATTCGTTTGGGGTATGGAAGACTCAGCATTTCGTGTTAGCATCAGTCCCTCTTCAGAGCTGACTCAGGGCTAGATCAGGCAATCCTGTGTCCCCATTCCATTTTGCCCTCTCTCTCTATCCCTGCTCCCTTCGAGTACATTCACGCCCTGTCCCTGTGGCTTGGGCTCTCAGGACAGTACTGGGTTCCTAAGTAGACGGACTGTGTTGAGAGTCACTCAGCCTGTCCCTTCTCCTCCCTGACCCCACACTGCCCCTGCTGTGCCCACACATTTAGGCTTTTGGTTTTGGTTTCTGTGATGGTCGGCGCTACTCTTGCCTTAGCTGTACGTCAGGAACTGCCGTTGCAATCAAAGTACTGTTCTGCTGGTTCTGGGTTTTTTCTTTTGTTTTGGGGGGATAAAGTCTTGGCCTATATCGCAGGCTGACCTTGAACTCCTCCAATTTTTCTGACTCAGCCTCCAGGTGCTGGGATTGTGGGCATGAGCCAATAAGTTTAGCCCACCATTATTTTGTATCTGTGGAAGGTGTGTGTTTGCGTGCATGCGTTTCTTGTATTGGAGATCCTTGTGCATATAAGGCAACTGTACTGATCTACACCCCAAACTCTGTGTTGTTTTGTTGGTACTTTTTGTTTGGTTTTGTTGTTGTTGTTTGGGTTTTTTGTTTGTTTGGTTGGTTGGATTTTGTTTTTGTGGTTTTGGTTTTTTTTTTTGGTTTTGTTTTGTTTTTTTTTTTTTTTTTGGTTTGGTTTGGTTTTTTGAGACAGGGTTTCCCTGTGTAGCCTTGACTGTCCTGGACCCTTTTGTAGACCAGGCTAGCCTCAAACTCAGCTGGTGGCCTACCTCTGCCTCCTGAGTGCCAGGTTTAAAGGCTTGCACCACCACACCCAGCAAAATCCCACTTATTTAAAGACTGGGTAACACTAGGGACAGGGCCTCAGAGGTACATGCCCTGAGAGTCATTTTTCTCCTATCAACCCTTCCACCCGGCTCGGTAGGGGGTACGTGTGTGTGACCCCTGCCAAAGGGCTCTGCACCATGACCAAGCATGTTACCATGCATGTGCACACTGCTTGCTGTCTGTGGCCCTGCAGGGAGCTTCCTGGGAAGGCCCTCTGCAGCAGACCCCCAGGGCTGGCCGCCTCTCAGCAAATGAACCACACAGTCTCCATCAGTGTACAGTGTGCTGCCGCTGACACTGGCTCACCCACGGCTCTGCTCTCAGGCCCCTTGGTATGGGGCAGTGTCTGGGGCCCCGTGCTTGCACAGTTCGTTCTGTGGGAGACAGGACCCACTCAGTCTCTGGAGTATGACACTGGATCTTCCGTCTACAGTTACACCAGTGAACACTCACACCTCAGCCCTACCCACTGGGAAACGGAGGTGTTCTTATTTCCTGTCTGCTATTTTAAGGATTTTTAAAATGATGTATTTCTGTGTGGATATGCGAGTTCAGAAGCCAGGGGGCGCTAGAGTTACAGGCTGTTCTGAGCCACCAGATGTGGGTGCTGGAAACTGACCTCTGCCGGAGTAGAAAATGTTTGTTTGCTTGTTTTGAGACAGCTGGTTTCAGTCCTGGCTCTCCTAGAGCTCATTCTGTAGACCAGGCTGGCCTCAAACTCACAGAAATCTGCCTGCCTTTGCCTCCCGAGTGCTGGGATTAAAGGTGTTGTGCAACTATGCTCAGTTTTCAGAAGATAATGTTCAGCACTGAGCCATATCTCTAGCTCCTTTCATTCTATTTCAGACAAGGTCTTACTGTGGAGCCCAGTGTCGAATGACTGTCTAGGGGGTTATAGAAACATCTCTTCACAGGGCTCCCACAAAAGACCGACGAGAGGATTCTGGTCTAGCCTACTGAACCAGTGAGTTTTCAGGGGCTACTCAGAGGAACATGGTGAGGGCTGCTCTTCAGAGTATGTGTGACGCAAAAACTGCTGTATTACTGAAAAGCCCACCCCAGCTGCGTCCTTAGAGCTTCTGTGTGACTGGCAGGTAGTTCAGCCAATTGGAGATTCTCCTCCTTCCCCTCTCCTTTGCCTCCCCCCAGCATTGTTATATAACCTTAAAAGGGGCCCTGTGATCTTTGTTAAGTTTCAGGAACTTCATGAGACTTGGGAATTTTGCTTCCCTTCTAAATAATAAGGACCATTCCTCCTGGGAATGTTTTGAGTGTTTTTCATTCCCAGGCAATTGCAACTCAACACCCAAGCTGACCAGGAAATGGTGATCTTCCTGTCTCAACCTCCAGAATGTAATATATGCATGCTGTGGTTACAAACCTGATTTAAGCTCACATTCTTTGCTTTTGTTCTTTAGCCATCATTATTGGCTTGTTGGGTGTTGTCTGGTGTTTTGAGCCAGTCCCATATAGACTAGGCTAGCCCCAGGATCATGGTGTAGCTTAGAGGCTAGTTGGGCCCTCACTCTAATTCACCTTGCTTGCCTAGTGGGTACTGCTTGCCATGTGGACACAGGTTGTTGTGGGTTCTTCCAGGATGCCCACCCCCATGATTCTGGCAGAAGTAGAGCAGATGCTTGGGTTGGGTTCTCTGCCTCTCTGCCCATCTCACATTCTGCCCTGCAGGCCTCGGAAGGACGTGCCTCACAGGTGCACTGCCCATTTTGATGCCGTGGCCCAGATCCGTGGCGAAGCATTCTTCTTCAAAGGTAACACTGGGGTCCTGTGGAAGGAAGGAAGGATTCCCCACAGCCACAGCAGGCTCCTGCAGCTGACTTCCCTTTCCTCACCCAGGCAAGTACTTCTGGAGGTTGACCAGGGACCGGCATTTGGTGTCACTGCAGCCGGCTCAAATGCATCGCTTCTGGCGGGGCCTGCCACTGCACCTGGACAGTGTGGACGCTGTGTATGAACGTACCAGTGACCACAAGATCGTCTTCTTCAAAGGTGAGTGAAGCGTGCCCTGGCTTCCCTCCTTGCTGTGTGACCTGCCTCAGCCTCCCTGGCATCCCTGCCGACCTTGGCTGTAACCTTGCACACTGGTCTGAGAGAGCAGCTGTGCTCTTTGGATGTGTGTATTGAGGCCTACTGTCGACTCATCCTGTAGGGGCTGCTGCAGACACACACAAGCAAAAGAGAAAGACATCTGTGGCAGCAGGTGGACATCTGAGGAGGGAGTGTATTCGAAGAAGCATTAGAGGTGATGAGGGAGAGCAAACTAAGGCAGGCAGGGCCTATCTAGGGACTTGCCATTGAGCAAAAGCCCAGGGACAGAGTCCAGGCCAGGTTCACAGCCAGTGTGAAGACAGAAACAGCCCCTCTGAGTGCAGAACTAAGAGCAGCCGCTGGGCCCTTAAAGAGGCCATGAAATGCAAGGTGGATTCGAGGCCACAGCCCCTAGCAGCAGCCTCTGCCTAGGTCACCTCATCCTGTTCCCAAGTCTGAAGGACAGCTTCTAGCCTTCACTGCTGGACTTGGGCAGGATGTATCTCTTATACCCATATCTGTCCTATAGAAAGGGGAAAGGGACCAGGGCTAGGAAGGTAACATGTTCCTATAATCCCAGCACTCAGAAAGCTGAAGCAGGAGGATCGTCACAAATTCCCAGCCAGCCTGGGTAACATTCTGAGACTGTCTCTCAAAAATCGGGGCCAGGGGGCTAAGGCTATCAATTTGATTAAAATATTTGCTCAGAGCCAGGTGGAGGTGGAACACGCCTTTAATCCCAACACCCAAGGAGACAGAGGCAGGTGGACCTCGTGAGTTCGAGGCCAATCAGGGCTACACAGAGAAATCCCGTCCTTGACAAGAAAATTGCTTAACGTGCATAAAGCCCAGGGTTTGCACCTCTGCACTGCATGTTGCAGCTGTGTTAATCCCAACACTTGGGAATTAGAGGCAGGAGGACCATCAATTCTCTATCGTCCTTGGCCACACAGCAAGTTGGAAGCCAGCCTTAGTTACAAAGGAGGAAGCTAGAGAGGGTAGGGGGCACTATGAGGTGAGAGCCTCCTGGGCCCCATGCACAGGTAGAAATGGAATTCTTCCTGTCCTGGCTATGGACAGGAACTTGGGATTGATGTAAGCAAGGCGTCAGTGCCTCTCCATCTGAAGTGGTTGGTACCAGCCCTGGTCATCCTCCCAGGTCAGGTCTCTGTGAGGGCACCGGGCTGCCACGCTGGCACAGGCTCACATATTTGTTACTTGACTCTATGCTGTGACAAAAGCAGTGTAAGGAAGGAGGCTTTATTTTGGCTCACAGTTGGAAGGCATCCAGTCAGTCACGTCAGGGAAGGTGGGAGGATGAGACGGCTGGTTACATTGCATCCTCAGTCAGGGAAGATGCTGGTGCTCAGCCCTCTTTCTCCCTTTTATTCAGTCTGCAATGCCGGCCCATGGGACGGTGCTGCCCACATTTTAGGTAGGTCTTCACACCTCAGCCCGGTCTAAAATATTCCTCCCAGGCCTGACCAGAGGCTTGAGTCTGTATACTCTCAATGTTAACTATTGAGCTGCCTTTTCCCCTCAAGACAGAGTCTCACTGTGTAGCTGTGGCTAGCCTAGAATTCAGTGTGTATCCACAGGTTGGCCAGTTTTTCCTCTAGGATTTTCACTGTTGAGATTGAACCCCAACACCAGTTGTTCCTAAGCATCAGCCCCTGAGCCAATGATGCCACAGCACAGTGATATGCATCTTCATCTATAGATACCCACTTCTATGTCACCAGGGTCCCAACCGGAACAATCTCTCGGGCCTTCAGTATCTACCACCTGAGGCTTCAACCCTCATGTGCCCGTGGACTATCATCTACGGTGTCCTGACCCATACTGTTTGGTAGTGGTCACTGGTGTCCCGGATGATGTAAACACAGGTTTCTTCATTATGTTCCCACCTCCACCATGTAGTTATCAGGAAGCCCTGGAAATAGTAAAAAAGCAACTAAGCCTCTTGCCCTGGGTCCCCTGGATAGAGCCTGTCTGGTCCCCTGGTGCTACCTTGTATTCAATGTCTTAGTTTCAGTGTCTCACAGAGATCACCTGTGATCCAGCCTTGGACTCAATGCCATCTGCCATAAGATGGTCACACCAGGCTTGGGGATGTGGCTCAGTTGGTAGCTCGCCTGCTTAGGCATGGGTTCAATCCCTAGAACCTCATAAACAAGGTATGGAGGCACATGCCTTTAGTCCAAGAAGTCAGGTGATGGAAGCAGGAGGATCAGAAGTCCAAGGTCATCCTTGAGCTACATAGTGAATTTGAGACCAGCGTGATCCACATGAGACCCTGTCTCAAAAAGGGGGAGGGAATGTTCCTACCCTCACATGTTATATTGACGGAGCAGGGGAAAGGGGAACAGGTGTCTTAGTTCTCTGTTTCTAAGGGGCTGCCAGAATAGGACCCGATTCTTAAACACTGGTTACCTGAGTGAACGCACACCAAGCATACAGCAGGTACTCAGTAAATGACAACACGTCTCCTCCTCAAAGTGGTGATAATGGGGTTACGGCCGTGTACTGCCACCTGGGTAAAAGATGGGGGACGTTAAGAAAAGTCAAGACTGGAGCCTTTGCCACAGCCCATGGCTCTTTCTCTCGCCACCAGGAGACAGATACTGGGTGTTTAAGGACAACAACGTAGAGGAAGGGTACCCGCGACCCGTCTCCGACTTCAGCCTCCCACCAGGTGGCATCGATGCTGTCTTCTCCTGGGCCCACAATGATAGGACTTATTTCTTTAAGGACCAGCTGTACTGGCGCTACGATGACCACACACGGCGCATGGACCCTGGCTACCCTGCCCAGGGCCCCCTGTGGAGGGGTGTCCCCAGCGTGCTGGATGACGCCATGCGCTGGTCTGATGGTGAGCACCATACAGGGGACAGTGCTCCTTGTCTGTAGATGGGGATCATGATGGGTTGGGGGATGGGGTTCCCTGAACCACTGTATACCCCTTAGCTGTCTGGGAGTTCTGAGGGGTTCAGGGCCTCGCCTCTCAGGCTTTGCACACTGACCTCCTGCTTTTCATTCCCCAGACACACTGGACTTCCAGCCCTTATACATTTTCCTCAGAGTGCCCCTAGCCTCCTCCCATTGCTAAAACCAGATGCACATGGAATAAATGCCGGGTAAACGCTGGCAAAGATGACTGGAGGTTAACAGTCCATTCCTGTGTCCCACGGTCATCTCCAACTGCCCACGTCAGGTCCATGCTTCTGACAGGTCCAGACAGGACATCTTAGACAGGCTAAGTCCCCCTCCCCCAGCACCCCCCTGTGACTGAGACACCAGCTCAGCCTTCCTCCTCCCCTATCCAGGTGCATCCTACTTCTTCCGAGGCCAGGAGTACTGGAAAGTGCTGGATGGCGAGCTGGAGGCAGCACCCGGGTACCCACAGTCCACAGCCCGGGACTGGCTGGTATGTGGTGAGCCGCTGGCAGATGCAGAGGATGTAGGGACCGGACCCCAGGGCCGCAGCGGGGCACAGGATGGCTTGGCAGTATGCTCCTGCACTTCGGACGCACACAAGTCTGCGCTGCCATCTCTGCTGCTGCTGCCGCCCCTGCTGTGGGGCCTGTGGACCTCAGTCTCCACCAAGGCATCCTGAGGGCAGTGCTGGCCTCACGGATCAAGGAGCCAAGGAGGGCAGGGACAGACACACTGGCCAGTAGGCAGCGGGACTGGTGCTCCAAGCATCCGGTCCTCCTGTCCTTCCTTTCTCTCGCTGAACCCAGGGGTGCTGTGCCCTCTGCTGGAGCGGCCTCAGCTGGGACAGCGGGGTTTGTCCGTGCACCCTTCCCACCTGGAGCGGCCATCGGCAGTGCTCCTTCCCTCTTCTGCGCACCATGCTGCTTCATCGCACCTTACTGGGCTGCCCAAGCCCAGCTGTCACAACCCCGGGATGCCTTGTCTACACCTGAGCAGCTCTGACGTCTGCATGTGGGCTGATGGGGACAACGGGAGGTCCTCGTGGTGTTCATAGGGGCCACTGTGCCTGTTTCATGAGTGAGAGAGTCGACGCCCCAATGGGGGAACATGGTGGGAAAAGGGAACCTACCAGGAGTCTCACCCGCTGCCATTTGCAGTAGCCTGCGTCGTATCGGCTGCTACAGAGGAGCAGTCGGGATCTGCCTGCAGGCACACAGATGCTGGCCAGGGGCCTTGCTCCAACCATCCCGCGCACAGCCAACTCTCTCCTCATCCTAGACAGGCTAGAAGTGGAGGCTGTATCCTGTTATCTCCCTCCTTGTGGCCAGGAGAGAAGTTTGGGTCTCCTGGAATGCTGTGGCTTGGGAGTGGGGTGCCTATAGAGACATCTCTCATCTGCCAGCACCCATTGCTTCAGCAAGATGCCTCATACAGTTCTGGACTAAGACCTTGCCGCCTAGACTCACAGCTGTCCCCTCTGCAGCTGTGGATGGGGGTTCACTTAGAGAAGAAGGGCGGTTGGGTGAGCACAGGGTGACAGGGAAGGGCAGCTGCAGGGATAATGGTATCAGGGTCTTCCGGAGCCATGAGAGTGTTACCACCTGCCCTGCCCTGACCACCTGACTTGGAGATATAGGGCCATGGGAGAACTGCTGCTCTGAGAGACAGACCCTCATGGTCCAGAAAGGGCCTCTGTGGTAGAACCCAAGATGGGAGTGTTCAGCTCCAGGGAGGAACCACCACATTCAAAAGTTCTGGGATGGAGTGGGCCTGAGGTTCGGATGTAGAGAAAGCAGTTTCTGTCATTGGACACATGCTGAAAGTTAATGCTCTCACACACACCCCACCCCTCCCACAACTGGCCCAGTCCCGTCTCAGGTAAGAAAGACCTCTCCACACCCCAGGCCACACTTCATATATACATGGCACTGCTGCCACCCCTTCCCAGGCCAGGCTTGAGTGCTGTCAGGATGGAGTGAACGGCCAGCCAGGCCTGGGCTTCCCCCTTCCCGGCCCATGCCACAGCCACCTGTCACACTGGACAGGCCAGGGTATGGGGGAGTCTGAGGTTTCCCTGTCACGAAAGCCACCCCTCTCTGCACCTGTATCAAAGCACGTTCCTTTGAGGCCCCACGCTGTCCACCAGCCTGCAGGACACAGCCGTCCTGTACAGTAGCAGGGAGGGTCCTGAGAGTCTTTGTCACAGCACTGAAAGCCAGGCCTGCAGGCTCGAGCTCTCTGATGCTGGTGTCTCACTCATTTTAAAACCCAAACTCTTAATAAAATTTTTCTACACTGGATAGGTGACAGGTCGGCGGTGGAGCACTTGGCTAGCGTACACGAGGCGCTGGGTTTGAGTTCCAGTACAACCTCCCCTGCCCCCTCTAAAATCCTCTGTATTCTGGCCTTGAGTGAGATGGTCAATGAGCACAAAGTTCTCTGGACAGCCCTCCCATGCCCACCTGCCTCCCTCCTTGCTGCAGCCAGTGGTCTCTCAGGGGGAGTGGGTGGGGGAGGTAGGTGCCAATGCCCTGCTCCCACCAGGCTGTGCTCTGCTGGGTCTCTGTGTCTTACGGTATGCTGTACCTCCCTGTGCAGAGGTTTCGGAAATGAAACAAGAGCGTCTGCCCCCAGGTTGTTGGATACGATGCAGACTCTGGGAGCAGCCCGTGTTTCCCAGGACTTGACCCCTCCTGAGGGCGTGCTCTCCAGAAAACCTGGGGACTACCAGGCCACCAAATTTTCTCCGTGTGTCCTCATCACATACTCTCCAGAAAAGCAGGCAACTAAGTGCCATGATCCCCTCCTACCCAGGTGCTGCCACCCGGTCTCGCCTGCCCCTGACCAACCTACCTAGACATTCTGGGGCCTAACCAGCTCTTGTCCTGCAGCAGCAGCCGGCCTGCTGCCACATGGCATTCTTTTCTAGACAAATTGTGCTAAACACAAATTCCACTGTCATTCTGATCTGTGTGGTCTGCGTCCTGGGCCGAGCTGGCCCTCTGCACCCAGGTGGATGGTCCGCCTGTGACCATGGTGAAACCCTAGAAAGGAGGTCTCAATACTCATTCTACCCAGGGAGGTCCTAGTACCCAGCAAGGGTAGTCATGCGCTCTTGGGCTTTCTTTGGCCTTATAAGCAAACGTGTGCTCTGTGTATGGGAAGAAGTTCAAGGAACCCGCCTGTCACTGGCAGCCCAGTCAGGGTTCCATGAGACCACCTCCTTTCCATGGCCAGTCATGGCCAGGAGTGGGCACCGTGAGTCCTTCAATGCACCAACCTGGGCTGGCAAAGATGGTTGAGGGTTTAAAGGTGCCTGCCACCAAGCCTGCAGATGTGAGTTCAGGACCCACCCACATGTGGAGGGAGAGAACAAACCCCTCCATGCTGACCCAGCACCTTCGCACGCGCCACGTGGTGAACACCGCCCCCACCCACACAAAGTAAATGATGTGATTTCATTGTTGTTAAAAGGTGCCATCCTGCAGGGCATAGTGGTGCATGGCCAGCACTTAGAAGCAGAGGCGGGTGGCTCGCTGTGAGCTCTGGGCCAGCACCGGCTACCTAGTGAGTTCAGTTCAGCCAAAGCTACATAGTGAGATCCTGTCTTTAAAAAAAAATCCTGTGGGCCATGCTTTACTTTGCAGCTTAGCCCTAAATAAGTCCCAGCACTATCACCTTGGGGCCAGTATGCCAACTTGGATGGGGGCCCACAATTTAGTCCATACTATATAGAAAGGTATGCATGGTGCCAAGACAAGCAAGTGCATCAGAGATGACACCGCCTGGGTCACCAAAAACAGCCAGATTCATGGTTTCCATGCTGAGGCGTGGCCCAGACACACTCACCTGAATCCTGGAACAACGCTGAAGAGAGTGAAGGCAGCCACTTCCTATTCCAGATGAGGAAACTGAGAGCCAAGGGTTGAAATGGTGACATCTCAGTGATCCTGGGCTATGAGACTCCTGGTGTCTTGAGGTCTGGTCTCTGGGGTCTTGCCGGGACATCCAGAAACGTTGTAGGATATTTGCCAGAGAAGGCTGCATGGACACAGATTTAAGCTAATAGAGCGGCTTTGTTAGCTGGCTGGTGATTGCACTGAGTGTTTGGGATCCCAGTGTAGCCCAGAGCCCTTTCTCAGGGTGAACTTTTAAGCACAAAACCCATATCCTGGGCTGACATATACTTCAGTTAACAAGAACAGTTATCCAGAAGCGGAACCAACAGAAGCCAAAAAGCAAGTTTAGTCCTTTAGAGATACCAAGTGTCTCAGAGTGTAGTAGCCAAGGAGCAGCGAGGGAGTTATCAACTGGAGATGTTCCAGGTCCTTTGACCAGTCACTGCTTAATGCTTTGGAGGAGTCTGACACCCCACCCCCAAAAGGAAACAAATTAGAAAGCTGCCTGGTCTGTCACCTGTGGAGGTAAGTCTGGCTAAGGAAACTTCTGTTTCACCTAGGAGGGGCGGGGCCCTGCTGCTGTGTCCAGGGTCTGTGAGATGTCACTGTTTCCCCCTTGATGCCTCAGGTATATGGATGTGTGGTGGCCACTCCTGGGTGTCCTTACTGTGTGCTCTCTGTGCGTCTCTCTATGTGTTTCTGTCAGTTCTGTTTCCCTGTATTGACCAGTGGCTTTCTCTGGTGAGAGAAACCCATGCACATATACACACATATTCCCCACTTAAGACTTGACCCCTCTTGTTGGGGACCCAGATCTTTTTGGCTTTGCTAAATCACCCAGAGAAACAAACACCACAAACCCTCCAGCTGCCCACTCCTGGAGGGCTCTCTTGTTAATTGACGCTTCCTCATGATCCTGTCCTGGTTAGTCCCTGTGGAGGCAGGGAGGGGCTGGGCCTCTCATCCGGGGACCCTGCTGCCTAAGCAAAATGCACACAGGGGGGTGGACACACCTTCTCTGGTGATGAGATGCAGTTAGACTTATAGATACCCAGCAAAGTCTTGCTCTCTGTCAGAAGACTATCTCCTAGCTGAAAGTGCTGTTCCCCAATCAAAGATGCAGATTTACAACGAAGGTTCCTGGGGTATAGGCAGAAACCAAATCCCCGGGAATAGCCCAACACCAAGTTCCTGTATTTGTTCAACCAACCATTCTGGCTATCCCTGTCTAGATTAAACAACACCCAGTGACCCTGGAAACTAAAAGGGGAACTGCAGTCCACATTGACTGGCTTAGAGAGATAGGTGCCCTGTGCCCTGCCAGTCACCCTGGAATAGCTCTCTCCTGTCTATAAAGAAACTTGGGACCTGTGATTCTCCTGTGAGGCTCCACAGTGCTGGTTCTCAACCTGTGAATCACGACCCCTTTGGCAAACCTTTATCTCCAAAAATATTTGTTACAACTCATTACAGTATGAAGTAGCAACAAAAATAATTTTATACTTGGGAGGTCACTATAACATGAGGAACTGTATTAAAGGGTCACAGCATTAGAAGGGTGAGAGCCTCTGTGTCAAAAGTTTTCTGGGTCTAAATATATACCAACCTTGGGCTACATAAGGTTGGGTTAGAGAGCCCAACTTTGTACCTCAGAGGCTACCTATCTCGGCTACCAGCTGAAGGGAGGCAACAGGAGCCACCCCAAAGTAGGACTGCTGCCTCCATTCAGATCCCAACTCCAAAGAGAGATTTGAGAGTTCCTAGATGCCGTATTGCTGCCTCTGGATTCCAGAATTTGCAGACGTAGCAAGGCTTCTGTACACCAGGGCAAGGGGTCTAACAAAGAGGAACACTGAGCCCCCAGTCTGGACTGAGACTAAACAAAATTGGCACCTGAGGTTTTAAAAACAGCTCTGACTCCAGCTCTGGCCCAAGTACTCTCAGATGTCTCAAAACCTTTTCATCTGTTTGTCCAGGGTACAAAAGACATTACAAACGGGGTTTCAGCTCAAACTTTGGGGCCATGGAAACGCCCTGTGACACACCTGTCCAGATGATTGGACCCTGTAGGCACAGATGGCCAACCTATCTAAGAGCTGGGGCAACTGTTCCTGGTCTACTGGGAACAAGCCAAGAAGTTAACCTCTGCGTAGTCAGGGTCTTACACTAACAGCACCCCCACACTGTTGAGGCCACCTTCCGAGGAAAGAACCCTGGCTGTCCAATGTCTGTGTGACCCAGCACCAGGCCCTACTCCTTCACCGCCCTCCAGTGGTTTGAGAAACCCACTGCCATCAGCCCTGCTACCCTCTTGCCTGGTGACGGCCCACAGGTGCTCATCCATGACTGTCACCAGAGGAAAGGTAAATTCGGGTTATGTAGGGGCTATAAAGTACTTACTTTAACTGAAATGACTTGGGCCCAAGCCAGGTTCCCCAGCCCAGAGAGCAGAACTAATCAATGTGGCCCAGGCTCTCTGCTGGGGAAAAGGGAAATCCACCACCATATGCACAGACAGTTGCTATGCTTTTACTAACCACGCATATCCATAGAAAAGGAGAGCTTCTCACTCCTGGGGGAAAGGACAGTATCTTGACCCTACTAAAGGATATTTGGCTTCCCAATGAGTTGCTGACCTCCACTGCTGGGGACACCAAAAAGACTCCCCGAGACAAGAGGTAACCAGGCCTGACCTGAAAATGGCCCTAAGACCAGTGAGTCCTGTTGATATTTTGATGACACACCCCCAACATGGTGCTGACTCAGACCCCATGGTACAACCAAGAGAAAATAGGGGTGCAAACAGAAGGAATGGACAGCTCAACCCCAGAGCTTGGTGGAGGAGACCACAATCAGATCGTTGTCCCAGAAACAACTGGAAAGGCTCTGGTAAGACTTTCACCAAGCAACTCGCCTGAGGTCCACAAAACCTTCTGAGTGCTTCAGACCAAGTTATGTTTTACCGAGTTACGGTGCAAAACGTCTCAGCCAGGTGCCAACGTTGTGCTCAAGTAAATCCAGAACAAGGAACCCTTTCCCGGGAAGGGGTCCAAAGGAGAGGCCAGCACCCTGGCAAACTCCAGGAAACTGGCTTTACCGAGATCTGGCCTACCAAGGGAGGAGAAAACAAAGTACTTGTTAGTTTTTATAGATGGGTAGAGATGTTCCCCACCCAGACTGAAACTGCTCACATAGTAGCTCAAAAGCTCCTACAGACACTGGTGCCTCAATTTGACCTCCCCCTAGCAATGGAGTCCAACAATGGCCCGGCTTTCATAGCCAAAACCTTGCAATAAATAATAAAATCTTTAGGGATACATTGTAAACTTCTCTGTGCATATAGACCTCAGAGTTTTGGGCAGGTAGGAAAAAAAAAAAAAAAAAAAAAAAACAAGGACATTAAAAAAAATCAGACAAAACTCTAATTAGAGTCCAGCGAAGGGTAGACAGGCCTCCGTCCTTTGCTTTGCTTCGGGTCCGCTGCACCCACATAGGGAGGGATTTACTGTCCATGAGACAATGTTCAGCAGACCTCCTCCATGGCTTACCCTGCTCAGAGACAAGCAGTTGGAAGAACTCTCTAACCATTCATTTCTCAAGACACTACAGGCCTTCCAGCCCTCCATAAAGGCCACTTATTGGCCTATGAGAGTTGTAGGCAACCTCTGAGTATTCAAGTCTGGTGGTAATGTCTGGGTCAGGCAGACAGCCAAAGGGTGCTGAAAGCAACTTGGAAAGGGCCCTACATGCTGATTTCAGCTGTGAAAGTGGCTGGCTTTATACCATGGATCCACCACACCCACGTCAAGAAAGTGGAAACGAGGGCCAACAACACCCAATGACTCTCTGGGACTTCTGGCTCACTATGGTTTCCTCAGGCCCCAGGCCCTCCCACTCTCCACCCCTCTTCCTCCTCCTAAGTCTTCTGTTTGGTATGAATACAGGATCATGGTCAAACCCTCACTGTCCTCAGGCCTGGAACTGGGAACTAAGGAAGACAGATACAGGCAAGGTATTAGCTAGTATGACTACAAGCCAGCAACCGGAGAAA